CAAATATCTAAATTTTACAAGAAACAAATCAAAGAACATTGAAAAGATTGAGGAATAGAATCTGTTTTTACAAAAAAAATTGACCTAAAGCTAAAGATGAACAATGTTCTCTCCAGAGCCTCCCAACGGCAATATCACCCAAGAGAATCATAAAGATCAGTCAAAATGAAACAACCTTTAAGTATATATTTCCTACACATATTCTTCAATATTTCCAATTCCAATGCCTATAAACCCCTGGTATGATCTGATACACATCTGTCAAATGCCAAACAATTAGTATATCTCATTACCATTGTCGTAGACTGCAAACAGTAATATGTGACATATTTGCTTTTCTTAATCACGGAGGCCTAGTTCAACCTCCAGTTCATCATCCTCCTCAAACAGTTTCAACAGCCGAGCATACTGCTCATCTCGTTTCTTCTTCTGCCACAGTTTGTATAGAAAGAAGGAGAATCCCGCTACAGCCCCAAACCCAACCAGTATGAGGAATACTTTTGTTCCTGTTTTGCTGGAAGAAGTGTGAGTTTCAGCCTTAGCTCCAGTATTAGAGCTCTTGGAATCACCGGATATACCTGAATATACAATAACATGAAGCTGCTAAGGATTTGAGAGACTTAATAGAGACTATGTTAGCATAAAAGCAAGAGTTATTAATCCCACAAGAACAGTCTTAACCGTAAAGTTTGTTGAAGAGGTGATCATCAATCTAAGGTTAAGGGATCTATCCTATAAAATATGTTGGCAATCTCCACCAAATGGGGACCAACAACTACACGCCTTTATAGCAAGCAGAGAATATGATCAAATGCCGATGATTGATTCATTTATACAAGTATCATGATAGTAGTTACCAAAAAACAAAACAAATCCTGTAAAATTTGAAGTTCTACCAATCAGTGCACCAAATTGTTAGAAGTATCATTTGGCATTTAAACTGTGTGCTGAATTTGCCCTTTGCCAACATGTTAAACTTGAAATCACTTGTTTCAATCTAAGCAACAAATAGTACAGTTAGAAACAACATATCTTCATTTTGAAACCATAGGAACAGAAATCAAACAAATCTATCTCCAGAAACCCAGAATGAGCAAGTCCAGCTTAAATTCGACCTAAATCTCGCGGGTTCAATGCCTAATTCCAAACAAATCTTACAAAAAGCGCAGTGAATCTAATGATCCTACCATATAGATAAGAGAACAACAAGGTTTCAGAAATCCAAATCACAGATCTGATGAAGACGAACCTAAGAAGAACTGAAGACAAATCGAAGCGAAAAGTAGAAGATGCCACCATGGAAGACCACTTGCCGAGATCCCTCTCATCTCTCGGTGGCTCTCCGACTTTGCTTGTACGCAAGGAGGGAGAACAAGTTTCCAATGTTTGTCTTGTGAAGAGGAAACGCAAGTGTTTTGCAGTTTGACCCAAAATCTTTCTCGAGTTAATTAAGCCAAGATCAAACGTATTTTGGCAGCGTAAG